CCAACCGAATTTGGTGTTATTTGGACTTATGGTTCATGAGAATACATTTTTCAAAGGTTTTCCAAAATGTCCAAGATGGAAGAAAATCTATCCTGAAGGACCTAATGGGTCCTTGAGGCAAATTTGTTCTGCACGAGGAAAGACTCCTACATACAAAGTTTTAAGTCTCTAGGTCAAATGGGGCGACGGATATGAGGGTTTAAGTGAGAATGCTTATAACAGCGCCACCTATAGTTACTCAAGGTCTCTGGTCTCTGTGTGCCAAATCAGAAAAAAAGTGACCAATCTACGCTTGTTATTTGACCATGTCAAGGAAAACAAATAAGAAGAAGGCATTACTATCGAAAGTATTCAGACCCCTTCACTTTTTCCACATTTTGTTACGTTGCAGCCTTATTCTAAAATGGATTAAATACATTTTTTCCCTCATCAATCTACACACAATACCCCATAATGACGAAGCGAAAACACGTTTTTAGAAATGTTTGCAAATGTATTAAAAATAAAAAACTGAAATACCTTATTTACATAAGTATTCAGACCCTTCGCTATGAGACTCAACATTGAGCTCAGGTGCATCCAGTTTCCGTTGATCATCCTTGAGATGTTTCTACAACTTGATTGGAGTCCACCTGTGGTAAATTCAATTGATTGGACAGGATTTGGAAAGGCACACAGCTGTCTACATAAGGTTCCACAGTTGCAAGTGCATGTCAGTTCAAAAACCAAGCCATGAGGTCGAAGGAATTGTCCGTAGAGCGCTGAGACAGGATTGTGTCGAGGCACTGATCTGGGGAAGGGTACCAAAAAATGTCTGCAGCATTGAAGGTCCCCAAGAACACAGTGGCCTCCATCATTCTTAAATGGAAGAAGTTTGGAACCACCAAGACTCTTCCTAGAGCTGGCCGCCTGGCCAAACTGAGCAATCGGGGGGAGAAGGGCATTGGTCAAGGAGGTGACCAAGTAGCTAAACAATAAGTGAACATTTACAAATTATCCAATGAATTATGATACTTTTCTGGTTAAAAAAAAAGTGGAGGTGCAGAAACATACGTTTGCACACGCTATTTTCATTTGCTCTATGGCTCAAGCGGTCAAGTGGACACAAGGATGTTTGGCTCATCTCAGTCGCAAAGAGGAAAAACTTTGCAGCTGTTTCTGATTTAAGAAACAATGTGATACTGGTGGGTGGTAACGTTCAAATAAAACCCAGCCCTGAAACGAAATATAGGCTGAAAATAATTTGTACATCATATCATAGGAAAATACACCGCATTCAGGCGAATTTGCACGAAGGGGGCAGTTCTGATTCATCAGAATTCAAGCCCAAATATATCATACTTTGACTAAAACGATGACTTACTGACTTAAATCATAGGTAAGTTCTGGCCATCGTCTTTCAGCTCGAAAAAGTGGCTTTCTACTGGTGTGGGCGTTTAAAACATGTAATAACAAATAACAACATGAAGTCTCCCCTCAGAACTTTTAACTTTCATCCAAAACTAAATTTAACATTTATTTTACCTTTATTTAACTAGGCAAGTCAGTTAAGAACAAATTCTTATTTACAATGACGGCCTAAGTCATAATTAATCAATTTGATCAATTTGATCATTAACAGATCATTAACACATACTTATGTGTAGGCTAGGTGGTTAATAAAGACAATTTATATTAATGTAAATATATAATCGTTTATTTATTTTTAAAGCAATCCACCAATGTCAGATGGCATGATTTAATCAACACTATAGAGCATTTGGTTAAAGTATTCCAAGACCATATACTGAATAGGCCAATCTTCAATTAAAACGTTTTGAGTTGATTGAGTCGCATGGGATGTCTTTAGATCAGAAGTCTAAATGAACTTTCATTACTTTTCATTTAATCATATTACGTTGAACCATATTAGGCCCAAATGCATTTATTTAATCTGGGTCCGTGATACCTGCAGTTATTGACCAAACCGAAAGTCTCAAATTATGCCACAGAGCTTTTGTCCTTTTTTTCTACACACGTTTGCTTGTAGACCTATTTAATTTATCTTTCACATGTTGTCGAGTTAATCCTCTCTGGACCCGCAGTGTGTAGGCTATTTTTTTTCTGAATAATGTGAGTGAGGTTAGTTTGGGTTGACAAACTTGTCATATCTTCACGTAAAATATTCGATGACCCCTTCCTATTTTTCAGCTGAAGAATTGAAAGCGAAAGAAACCATCTCCAAATACTGAATCCATGGAAGCCACAATATGATTATTAGTAATTGACTTGAGAAAAACATATGTATAATATTTTATTTAAACTAATATAAAATATCTTGCCTCTTGGTTTGATAAAGGCAAGATGGACAAACATCAACATCTCTCTCGGTTCCAGACATGTTCAGGGTTCCAAAGCCTTATGTTTGTTTCTTGACCTGAGAGTATGAATGTTAGAGTAAAAGTTAAACAAACACATAAAAGAGTTTCATAGGACTTGTTGATCTCTACTTTCGCATTAGCAGCTGTTCTCCCGAGTCCTAGCCTCTCCCATGCATGACTAAGCGACTGAAAAATACTAAAATAACGGTTTGGAAAGGTCTATTATATTCAATGACTTTAGTTTGGATATGGTCAGTGTGGCCAAACTGACAATTTCAACCTATAAAAGAATGAGCTGTGAGTTTGATAAATTCAGATTTAGATAAAACACATTTAATCAGTGATATCCAACGTTAAATTGCCATGACTTGAGGGACCAATTGAAACGAATTAACTTTTTAAACGAGAACTTCTAAACAACAGCTTTCGATTTTGATATTAAGACTATATGCCTACCTTGCTTTAGCAATCCAATCGATATTCTTCTGTTGGTTTGTCCAGAAATAGGAGCCGTTAAAATAGGCTATAAAGGCCTCTTCCGTTTGGGGAATCACCTGGAAACTTTATCAGGCAAGATGTCACCAAACATCTAACAGCAAAAAGTAATATATGAAGTTAACGGATGTGAATTAATTGTTTTGGATGTGGAGAGCATAGTCTATTGATTAGGCTGTAGGCCTACACCCAACATATTTTGTTCACAAGTTTTTTTGTTTGTTTATCTTTGAAAGTTATTATTATGTAAATGTGGGCTATATAGGCTATGCTATTCTGAATGGTGTTGATAATTGGAAATCGGTTTGGCATCAAATGACAGTCAGTGGTTATAATGCAGATTTATGCAGATTCGATTATTGACCTTGCGCTCGAGAAGTGACAGGGGCCAAATTTAGATTAATCTTTGTGCTCGCGGTTGATTAATGGTCAGCGGAATCCCGAGGACAAAAGTATGCTATTTAGAGTATAGGGCGCTGGACCGAGCCAGATAGAGACAAGGTAAAAAATAAAAATGAAGCAAAGGCTAAATAAGAAGGCTAAATATGAGGTCCAGTGTCAAAAACGGATTTTTCTGAGATGTGTCCCTATTGCCCCTGGAGAAAAAAAAAAGAGAAGAGTTAACAACTCAGGTTGTTACTGAGTAAAACTAAAATAAAACTAGTTCTCATTAAGACAGAAATACTTCAGTTATAGCCTATTGTCCTGAAAAGAACAACAATACAGTTTGCAATAGGCCTACTGAATGTTTATCCTACATTTGGATATTGGCAAATAAAAAATGAAGGGTAAAAAAAATTGGGGGGGCCTTTGCACTGTCTGGGATGACCCCTGAGAGCCAGCCAGGTGAGAGGTCATGAACTTTGACCTTGATCAGCTCCAGGTTGTCTTTCTCCTGTAGATGCACACCCTGCTGAGATAAAACCCTAGACACACTGCTCTGGTAGAGGTGTCTGTCTGATGCCAGTCCAGTCCTGGACAACCCATTCTCCCTGTCTGCATCAGAAACAAGATTTTTCAGACAGAAGATAAAATATCTATGTTGTCTTTGGGGCGGTTTTCTGAATATTGTTTTACCACCAGACTACCCTCAATCAATGCAACTGTCTCCTTAAAATATCTATTCAGATAGCCTAATTAGTCTAAACGTGATGGGCCTTCCTCTGGGTTGAAAAACAGATTTTCAATAAGGGGAAACAAGATCCCTGTAAGGATCCAAAATAGTTTGGGGAATCCCTGCCCTGTCTTCAGAAGCATGCTACACTTAAGGTCCAGACCAAAATTAGAGTATGCCTACTTTATTATTCTACCCTCAAACCTTTTCTGAGTGCAATAATGTGACTTCTATCAGGACACCCTCTAAGACCTTTGGAAATGACAGGTCCCTGAACAGCTTCTACCCTCAAGCCATAAGACTGCTAAATAGTTAGTTAAATAGTTAACCAATAGCTACCCAGACTCTCTGCATTGACCCTTTTTGCACTAACTTTTTTGACTCATCACATAAGCTGCTGTTACTGTTTATTAGCTATCCAGTTGCCTAGTCACTTTATCCCTACCTATATGTCTCAGGAGGTTGGTGTCACCTTAATTGGGGAGGACGGGTTTGTGGTAATGGCTGGAGCAGAATTAGTGGAATGGTATCACCTCATACCCCTGCACATTTGTGTATATAGCCAAGTTATCGTTACTCATTGTGTATTTATTCCTCGTGTTATTTTCTATCTAATATTTATATATATATTTTCTCTACATTGTTGGGAAGGCAACATAAGTAAGCATTTCACTGTTAGTCTACACCTGTTGTTTACGAAGCATGTGACAAATAACGTTTGATTTGATTTGATGATGCAACAAAATACGCCGTGACTCTGAGTCTATCCTGTAGCCTCACATGCCCAATCCTGCAAATTATGTAGGCCCACTTGAGAATAAACTATGCCTATATAAATTGTGTTCTCAATTAAAGATACTGTAGCCTAAATGAAACAAACAGACGTGATACATTGTGAAGCTGTTCATTTTTTCACTCCACCACGAGCCGTGAATGAACGACGTGTGAGCTTTGCCCTCTCCTCTGCTCTGCATGCTGCGTCAGCTGATCGCGTCACGTGATCCGGTTTCGTGGGTCGTTTCTGTCTCAAAATGGAGTTGTCTGAGTCCGTGCAGAAAGGGCTGCAGTCTCTAGCAGACCCGACGCTTTTCGACCTGAAAACCTTCTCCGTGTTGATAGAGTTAGCCTTTCGCAGCTTGCTAAGCGCCCATGCCGACCGTAGTGTTCTCGGTAAGCCTGCTCTGCTCTCTCTCTACCGTCGCCTTTTGTTTCTGCTTCTTTCACAGCTTCCGGTTTCTTCTCAGTTTGACTTGAAGGCTCGCATTGAAAAGTGTGGAATGCACGCTACAATTTTTTAACACCCGTGGATCTGAAATGAATCAAATGTAACAGTGTTTGTATCCTCTATGTTTCAAGTGGTAGTTACAGGAAATAAGACTACTGATCAGGCTACAAGTGAGAATGCAGGCTAGGCTACCGTTCAAAAATATAGGCTAGAAAATGAGAATGTAGGAAGCAATCTGGAACTGAAAACGTGCAAGTGACATTTCTCCCTAATGACTAAATTTGAAATTTTAATCAAATGTTCAACCTAAATTGTTTATTTAATTGGGGTATTGAATATGTGTGTGTGTGTGTTTGCGCGCGTCTTGCATGTTGTACATTTGCATCCCATTGTCTGTCTAAACGGTTAGGTTTAGGTTATTAAAACTGGATGATACACTTGAATGATGATTAGACCCACTATAAAACGATACAACAGCTCGCAGAGGCATTAGGCTACAGTTAAAGGAAAAATCCTCTCCAACTATATTTTGGTATTTTTTTTCATTAGTCCACTGTTGATAGGTATTAACAGTGGACTAATACCTTAATATATATATATATATCGTTTTTGACTGGATTTTTTTCTTTAAGATCTGTGTGATGAATAACTGGTCAATGTTTTTCTCTGATGGTAGATCAACCTGAATTGAAACATATTGACCAGAAGTTGCTGAAACATTGTCACACAGCTGCCACCACCTGCATACTGGAGGGGGTCAAACAAAACGTGGACAAATCCACTATAAGGTAACGCTTGGTTTGGCCTGCTATATTATTGCTAATGGGGGTTGACCACTCTGAAGTTATTAAATCATTAATCTCGTCCCCCAGAGACTGGGGTCGAGGTTAGAAAATAATGCATTTACATTTTAGTCATTTAACAGACACTCTTACTAGAGCGACTTAGTTAGTGCATTCATCTTAAAGGGCAATTCCACCACTTTAATTAATTATGCGAGAAATGGCGGTGGAAACGTTTATGTATAAATATTGATATAATAACAATCATATCAAAGTAAACATGTCATCACGTGACTCCAGTTAAGTGGTCCACACACTATGACTTGGGAAAACATGCAGTTTATTAGGCTACAGATTAAATAAATTATGGTGGACTTCACAGGGTGTTGAAAGTGCATGGTAATCTTGATGCTCCTTTCCAATAAATATCAATGGTCTTATTCTGGTGACAAGATGATAGATGCTTGACTGCTGTTTGACAAATAAACATATTCTTGCTCTTATCCATAATAATCTCATCATGTAGACTAGCCTAACCGCACAGTATCTGCGAACTGTTGGCTAGACTATAGAGTAGGCACATTTGCTATTTAAAGCCAAGTTTTTTTGCTGATTTTCTAATATTCGCATGAAAGTCTGTCGCCAATTGGATGGAAACCTAGCTTGTGTTATCACAGGGTAGGATTAAAAGTAAAAATGAGTTTCTAATCAGAGGGAGGGGGTTTTCTTGCTCCCCACTTCACTGCGAATCTGTGTTTGAAAATCACTGTTTTTACAATGTTATAACTTTTGATCATTTCATCGGGTGGAACTTAACTTTATTGTTTTCTACTAAATGTAGAAATGCACCATTTTCACATGCATATGTACACACTGGTATTGTGCTGGAGATAATGAAAATTAGGTTGAAAAGTGGTGGAGTTGCCCTTTAAGACCGCTAAGTGGGACAACCACATCTCAGTCATAGTAAGTACATTTATCTTCAATAAAGTAGCTATCAGCAAAGTCAGTGCTAGTAGAAAAAAGAAAGAGTTAGTGTGAATAGGCCTTGACATTTCTTTACTGTACACAATATTGGGGCTTGGCAAAATTACACAACAAAATGTGGAGTACTCTTATCAAGAGCATTCCACTTCACCTGCAAAATAAAATCCGTAGGCCAACATGAGGCAAAAAGAAGTGTGTTCATTATGATTACAGAATTGATAAATGATTGAGCTGATTTTATCACAGCTTGTGCCTGGAGGATGTTAGGTTTGATGCGGAGAGAACAGATGTGTTCTACATCACATACCAGGTGACCACCTTATTATGTTTAACATCTTAATTACCTTAATGTAAAGAAATGCAAATCCATACCAGATCTCAACCCCAAACTGACTGTTTCTTTGTTCTCCAGAAATATAAAAGCGATCTGGAAACTCTATTGTCAAGGTGAGATAATTTTAGTAACTTTTTCTGATGTTTTCATTTCCAGTAGGCCTATTTGAAATGCCATAACAATTCATGACTGTGGGGCTATTGTGGCTGAAGCTTTGACTGGACAAATCTACTTGAATTTAAAGTATTAGATTTAAATATAAATTACTATATTGTCTGTTTGTACAGATAGGCTTCTGGGTCACCACAGTACAGTTAAACGTTTGTAAACTGTGGGAACATAGTCACATTCTAACACATGCCAACAATGCAGACACAGACAAGACTTTATCAGAGCCCTACATTTTTGATATGGCTTCTCTATATGGCTCATGGAACATCACGTTGACCATGCAGTTTACACTTCATTAACATCTCTGTAGATCTACAAATGTTATTAATCCATTCTATTGAACTTTTCCAGTAATATTATATATTTTCCCCAATACACATATCCATCCCCATTGAAACATCAAGTACAGCCTAAAAAAATAGTGAATTATTTCATTATATATAATTAAAAATGGTTTGAAGTTGGGCAATAACAGTTTGTTTTTTATTTCAAATGTATTGAACAGTTACATTTAAATGAACCACCGATTTTGTTTGAAATTCTTTGAAACCTTTCGGTGTGAGGTCAGGAAATATAGATACTACATTTTCATAAACTCAGATGAATCAACTTAATAATCTTGCTTTGCATATTTGCATCTAATTGTGATAATTTTACACATTTTAGCTCACTGAACAAAAATATAAATGCAACATGTAAATGTTGGTCCCATGTTTCATGAGCTGAAATAAAATATCCCAGAAATGATCCATACGCACAAAAAGGTATTTCTCTCAAATTTTGTGAACAAATTAGTTTACAATAAAAGGCCACTCTAAAATGTGCAGTTTTGTCACACAACACAATGCCACAGATGTCTCAATTTTGAAGGAGCGTGCAATTGACACACTGACTGCAGGAATGTCCACCAGAGATGTTGCCAGATAATTGAATGTTCATTTTTCTACCATAAGCCGCCTCCAACATCGTTTTAGAGAATTTGCCAGTACATCCAACCGGCCTCACAACCGTAGACCACGTGTATGGCGTTGTGTGGAGGATCAACGTTGTGAACAGACTGCCATGTGGTGGTGGGGTTACAGTATGGGGAGGCATAAACTACTGACAACGAACACAATTGTATTTTATCAATGGCATTTTTTTTTAAGGTATCTGTGACCAACAGATGCATATATGTATTCCCAGTCATGTGAAATCCACAGATTAGGGCCTAATTAATTTATTTCAATTGACTGATTCACTCAAATGAACTGTAACTCAGTAAATTCTTAGAAATTGTTGCATTTTATTTTTGTGTGTGGTGTGTATTTATGTATATACATATTTATTTAGCAGACGCTTTTATCCAAAGTTATGTGGTCCTCTGTAGCTCAGCTGATAGAGCACGGCGCTTGTAATGCCAAGGTAGTGGGTTCGATCCCCGGGACCACCCATACACAAAAAATGTATGCACACATGACTAAGTTGCTTTGGATAAAAGCGTCTGCTAAATGGCATATTATATTATTATTATTATTATTATAATTATAGTCATGCTTGCATACATTTTACGTATGGGTGGTTCCGGGAATCGAACCCACTACCCTGGCGTTACAAGCACCATGCTCAACCAACTGAGCTTCAAAAAGTTTATAGAAACTGTCAGCACATTGACCATATGTCTTCAATATTTGTGCTTCACTTTCATAGAGTGCAGCAGACTAGGGAATGGAAGTAGCCTAACTCGGTTCACATTTATTTGTGACATATTTTTACCATGCATGATCTCTTAACCGTTTAAGATTAGGGAATGAACCTGCGAATGTGACATGACAATTTGTTTCACAAACTTTGAATCGTTTTATTTTCCTTGGAGAAAGCGCAGTTCTTTTACGATGAGCGTTTGTTTGTAGCGCATTGATAGGTGCTTTTACATTGTAATTAATCACCACGATTGTCCCCTTTTGTCTTCCTCCTGACAACCAAACTTCAGAATGCTGAAAACTGTTGCCCATAGGGCTCCAGCCGTGACAAGACGTTTTGGTGTTTGATTTTAACACACGTAATATGATCACTTAGCCTAATATGTGGAATGATTCTGGGTTAAATAAACAAAGGTTTTTAATGAATAAGGTTACCGTTGAACAGCCTATATAAATCTGTATTCATGGGATGCTTCTTGCCTTGTAAATATATATGTTTAATATAGGCCTATTGTGTGTATCTGTAGCCCATTGGTAATTCTGTATTTTGGTTGTCCTTTTAGTATAGGGAGATGCCCTCCTCATATCAACGACGTGTCATGGCGTCTGGAGTACCTTATCAAGGTATTGGTTGGTAATAATAAACTGCAATAGGATCAGATAATTATGGTTTAGAGCTGTTATGGTGACTAACGTATAGCCCTAACGTATTTTGTTTCCATGACAGAAGGGGCATGTACATAAGGTCAACGAGCCGTCCTATCTGATTTCATTAAACGTTGAGGTATGTCCCTTTCCAGAACCCAGTGATCTAAAACGTGTCATCATTACAAACGTAAGCCTATACTTTTACAGAATACCAACAACGGAGGATCGTCTGAAGTCAATTTTAGCTGCACTATGGAACAACTTCAGGTAGCTAATGTTTTGTTACAGCCTATATGGAATGTGGGGGTATCCATTAGTTGAATAAGGTAATTTCACAGAATATCTGTGATAATGTTTTACATGCACTCTTGAACGTGGCAATTGATTTAAATAGATAGCCTACACTGTATTTTCCAATTCAGCATACTTTACAGATCTATATATAATTATTGGCTAGCCGTTAGGTCCACGTGAATTAGTACAAATAAATCATATTAGTCCTACTTAACGTTTGTCAAACGATTATTAAACATTTTCTTGAATAACATGTCTTTCAACAATGTTCTGTGTCGAGATGAGTGTCCTTCTGCCAGATTGAGCAGAGATTAAAATCTGAATTTGCAAATGGATCCAGTGTATTTTAATCCATGTGCAGTATTGGAATTTCAATAGTGTTCTGCAGACTGTTTGATTCAACCTTTGTTTACACATTTGTTAATTTATTTTAAAAAATGTATATTTAACAGGAAAACAATGCATGCCCTGTCACTCGAATTGTCTATTTCCAAATCATCCATTACTTTGTGTGAATATTGATGGCAAGAAATAAGCAGAGCCGCTGAGTGACAGGGCATGCAGTGATGTCTCAGGATCTAAGTTTAGCCTATGAACTTATCTTAAAGTCTAAATTGTGGCTTGTTATTTTTACTTTTCCTCAATTGAGTTCGACGTAAGCCAAATCCCGAATGTATTGTAGGTCTATGTCTATCTTCACTGAGACCTGAGGTTGTCTGCTTCAACGTGTCATCTCATGGATTGGCTTCTTCACTAGCCATGTAGCTGTCGCTTCTATCCAGAGTTTAATAATATTGAAATAGGGGGCAATATATATATATTGAAATGTGTTTACGTTGTGCCAAGACACAGTTCTAAGGAAGGAAGTTTGGTAATGTGTATGTTCGGGACGCTCTGTCTACACCTCTTTTGGGTATGAGGTGAACAAGAACGGTTGCATTGCATTTCAGTTGACGTGAACATCCTTAGAATTAATCTAAAATATATTCACTAATGAACGAAGTGTACTCAGACCTACTATGATGACTATTCCGTTATGAATTTAAATGGAATTGACTCCGATCCAGACAGGTTTCAGTGTAAAATATCCTGGTAATCTGATAGACAGGGTACAGACTGAGGCAAGGTTATAATTTACACTCAACAGAGCTCAAAACTCTTCCAGTAAGTGAGGGAAACCATTAAATGGTGTGTGACTCAGTCTCCGTTATTCTCTGTTTGGAAGTGTACGGACTGTGTATGTGACTTTGCTTTCAGGATTTGGTGGGAAAGATGAAAGACGCTGCCAAGAGTCTTGAGAAGGCTACGCAGTTGTGAGTTTACCCTGCACGAACTGTGGAATCCGGGTTCTCACGTGATCTCCTCTGCTCCCCTCATCTCGCTCCTGAAAGCACTGAAGTTCAGAGATTTCCAGCGGCGTTGATATCCGCTTTGTATTTTATACTAATTTCATTCGTAATTAAATATATTTGTATACGTTCTGCAATGATGTAGGCTTATTGTTATCAATAAAACAGTTCAATGCATGCTTGGGTTTATTTTTTCTTGTAATTTGCAGGCATGAGATGAGAGGAGCCAAATGATATTAAAGTAGGCTATATAGCATACTTGTGTCCCATAGTCTAATGCATAGTTCATATCAAAGATATGTAGCCTATGCAGTCTCCGACTGCTAAATGACGTAAATGTAAATGTAAATGTGTCTTGGAAATAGATTTTGCCACATGACGGTGAAGGGGACATGTATGTTTGTGTGAAATAAATGATCCACATTGGAGAGAACATCGTGCCAAAGGTGAGAATATTGTTTCATATCTAGTTTACAAACAGGTGGCAATGCATTGGTTAAATCATATTCCGGCTCACCAGAGGGAACTGAACAGCATATAGTTTATGGTTCAGAGTCTCTTATAGTAGCCAACCTATTAGCGATGCTTCAAATTCCTAAATGCCCCCATTTTCAGTTCGATCATGAATTAGTATTCTATGGGGTCGTTGGCTATGGAATATCAACACAGTAGCCCCAGCTTTCTATCGGCTTTGGAAATGGTAGCCTAACCAACGCATGTATGACAAAGACGCATTTTGCAAGCTCATGCCTTTGGAAATGGACACGGGAGGCACAGAATAGAAACATGGTTGGAAAAACGCACACTGGCTATTATTTAGAAAACATCGGTGATGTCTATTGTAGTCTTTAGTGACACAACTACAATGTTCAAATCAAATTACGAGATCGGTCAACATGATAACATATTATTTGTGTCATTTTAAGAAGCATCGTGAATTGGCAAGCCCCCGAATACACCGACACTAATTTCCAGGCCACCCTTAAGGAATGATACCACGTGACCAAAGCGGGGCGGGCGAACTACAAGCCATTTTGGGGACGGTGTCAGTTTCCACTGAGCCACACTGCTGCATTTTTCGAAGAGTCTCATCGGGAACACAAACACGTTCGGAACGCACAGACAAAAGTCTGAAATCTTCGACAACAGAGGACACTACGCGCCCAAAGTGCATAGAAGGAGAAAAATACGAATTTTACGCATCTGAAATGAGCCACGGGTTGCCTTGCGCTTTCTGCAATTGACAGCGTCTGCAGCTCGTTTCAAGATGGCGGCTCTCGTATTCATTTTCTGCTGATCGCCTCCTAACTTTCATTGTCTCTCCGTCTCCAGTATCACAGATCGCCAGCAGTCTCTCTAGGTATGTATTATTCGATATATTTTCTTACCAATGGATGAATAACGATTGAGTTTTCGCCGCGTATATGTGTTTTTCTGCGGGTTTAAATGTGTTTCCAGCCTGTGGTGGATGTGGGGCTTTGACGGTGTCTCGCACTCACGGACGTGGAGCTCTGTCCTCGTACTGCTTCTAAAATTGTGTTCCCTTCTTGCACACGCCTTGGTTTTGCGCTCAACAGACCAGCGCATTGCATTCTTTTGTATTTTATGTAATTATCTGTTATGAGTGTCCATTGAGAGTGTTTCTGTGACATTAGTTAGATTTCCACAAAGCCTGTGATCTCAATCGAACAGGACCGAGATGGGTGAGGTGTTTACGGCAGCACACAGTCCAATGGTTCTCCTGGTTGGTTTGGTTCCATATACTGTCCCCATTTTATAGAAATATGATCTTTTGGATGTTGGGGATAGATCAGTGTGGTTACATTACGCACATGTCGCCAAGTGTTGTTTTTATTAACTTAACTTCCCTCTTGGTGAACGGGTCCTCTGTAGCCTGGTGGAGGGTAAACCATTTAAATGATTTACTGAAATATCATCACGATCAGTTAGTTAGTTGTTAAAGAAGAATTTGAATGTATAGGCCTACACGCAAGATGACAACGTAACGATATTGGCGAACATTAATCATACGTAAAACCAATTTTCTGATTTTTCTTACCATGATGTCAAGATGGTACAAAGGTCCATTGACTGATTCAGTACAAGGGTCCTCTCAATTAGCCAACCATCTTTGAATTCTCTGTAAAAGGCAGATATTTAATATTGAGTTTCGTCACGACATTATTGGGCAGGCTATGTGCCTCCATCTGCCAACATTTAGTTTTTAGAGGATTTTTCTTTTTTTCCCCTCTCACTTTTGGAACCAACAATCGGACCGCTTATTGTTAACTCACAATGGCGCATAACAAGTTTATAAAGCAGGAACATATGTAAAAACCAACCATGCAAAGATCAAACATGTCAGAAGATTTGCTCCGTGGTGGAAAATTCTGTTTGATATGTGTTTGCATGGATCCATGGTGTCTGATATTTTTATGCTTTCCTTCGTAATAATCTCGTTATGACCAGGTTATCACGTGTGAGATTATCTGTAATGTGGAAGGGAACTGTTTGGTGGGAAAGATAAATAGCCTAACGTTGTTTGACAGTTGACAACCTACCCGTAGAGGATTTCTGTGAGATGAAGGTTGCCAACGTCGGTGCTAGTTGAAATTCTTGTGTAGGCTGATTTGTGTTGATACAAGGTTTCTGTTTGTGCTACTTGTTGGAATGCAACTTTGACGCACAGCCAGATAAATAGAGATTTCGACATTGACCGCTGACTTCTTGATGAATTCTATGAAGTGAGGCCTCGTCTGTAGCTAAGTCTTCTGAAAATGGTAATGAAAATCTAGCTGTTGAATAGATTAAGGTTCCATCCAAAAATAGATAGAATGGTGCAGCATATATAGATCAAAACAACCACAGCCCTCGAAGACTAGCCTAACTTTATGGAGAAAAAGGTGATATGCATCTTTATTCATACTACATTACCAGAGTAAAAATTGTGTAAATCCACATTTTTGGAGGAAGGACCCCCCTATTCTACTTAACATTTTCAGCCATTCCTTCTAGCTAGATGGAGAAACCCTGGGTTGCAGCACACAGTTCATGACCCAGAAGGTTGGGCTGAATACAGTAGGCTAGATATAATGCAATTGGGAGCCAATCTTGCCAACATCGTTGTTGATAATACCCTGTCTTATGAGTCTCTCAGCTAAAATGTATCTGGAAATAGATTTTAGGATACATTTTTATTCAGTGCTTTATTGGTTGTTTGGCTGTGTCCTGTACGGATAAATGTGTTACATAATGATGCTTGTAGATGAAGTTTCAATATGCATGTTGAAGCATTGTATAATTTACTCTACAAAGGCTCTGCTATATTACCAGTGGTAACAGTTGTGCAAACATCAGTAGTTAATCGATTGATGGCGTAACAGGCTAGCTGTTTGCATTGCACACGATGCGTGACACCCACTGTAATGGCATTGTGGGGTCCTCCACTGCGTTACATTCAAATACACCTTTTAAAATATATTTTTTACTGACAGGAAGAGCTGGTATATTCCACACCAGTGACCTGTTGGTAGAGCCAATATCGGTGTTTCTATATATCTATTTGAATTAAGGTGCATCCGTACAAAATGACGATGGTTCTGTTTGCAAGCCCCGTAGGGTTTTTTCACCATAGGCTACACGCAGAATCCGTTCCTATTTCTATAGCGCCACCATGCAACATATTGCGCGGGTCACATTTGATGCAGGCATGACCCAGTGCCCATGTCACTATGTTTCTTGTTTTGTCATGAGTTTTATTTGTCATGAGTTTATTCCTAGTGCCAGCAAGCCAAAAGCATCTGACACGCAGAATCAGTCATCTCCCCCATGTTTTAACTGAGGGCTCAAACATTGGGAACAGACAGACCCAGAGTCGTTGAGTTGGCACCGCAGTCACCATGGCTGCGTTTAGACAGGCAGCCCAACATTCATTGATCTTTTGACCAATCAGATCAGCTCTGAAAAATATATGTTGTGAAAATATCTGATGTGATTGGTCGAAAGACCAATTAGTGGGAAAAATATCCTAATTGGACTGCCCATGTGATCGCATCCCATGTGCGGCAGAAATACAAAAAGCTATTGTGAAGAAGACAAAAATTTCTAGGTTACAAAAAGGCGTCACAACTAGACGAATAGTGTGCAAATTATTTCATAATTTCCCTCCAGACAGTCGTTTTTTAAAACCTTTTTCTACTCCACATTGCTGTTAACTGCTGGCTATTTGAATCTGACTTCATTAGTGATCCATGTCGTGTTGGATGAGCAGTAGTGATGTTTCTCTCGGGCTTCAACTTCATACGGGTAGAGAAAATACTTGGTCGAGTCATGTTGTTATTCTACTGTGCGGTGCACCCAGGCTGCCTGTGCAACATGCACACGGAAACGACACAAGCTACGGAAAACTGTTAGATTTATCAAAACTAATGCGCAAGGCATGCATGGGTAGCCTATGCGGTTGGCGACATAGGAACCGAATGTAACAGGCGTCGGTGTGAAAATTGTTCAAACCTGTCGGGAATTGCGCTATGATTTTCGAGCGAGACGTTCTTTACAAAATGGCAGCCATAGTGTGGGGACGGACTGTAGACTATTCGCTTCGCGATGGAAGGACAGATATTTATTTTCATATTATTCACCGTCACATCATCATCAACGCGAGCCGTTATCGGGTCTCGGGCGAAGCAAGTCTCTCCGTATTGTTCCCTGGCAAGATGCCAAATAGTGCAACCTAAGTTGCCATAGAAACGGTAAGACCTTCCAAGTGTGTGGTTACACCTGACACCGAGTGAATTCGCTTACCGTCTCCAGCATCCTCGAGAGTTGAACGAATTATTCATTGACGAATGTGATATAAAATGTTGCAACTGACCGGAATGATGTTGCGCCTTATCATCGGATTCCAATATTAGAAAGTTCGAACCCCTCTGTATTTTGGCACTTCTACACTGAATCGCTTTAGAATAGACACCCTGATGTAGGTTGGATAGGTCTACGTGAGTCTATACAGTGTTTTATATGACTAGGCTACTATCACATTTCCTGAGCGACGAACGACCTCCGTTCTCCCATATCTATCTATAGAGGAGCGCTGGGAGGTAGGCTATATGAACCATCCCAATGAAAGGATTGATTTATGGTAACGCAGCTCTTTCGGCTGTAGCTGCGCCCTCGACAAATCCACACGGATCGACTCCCACCAATTGTTACCTATCAATCAACCTCTGGGTCAGCGTCTGAAAAACGACCAACCCCTTCCCTGCTTATTATACTATTAGCATAAAGTATGGTGTTTCTCTTAACACTAGAACAACAAAACATCCATCCAAATGGGTTTAAAGCGGTTCAATGAACGACCACTTTATCAAGCTGTGAAAGATCTGTAGTCCCGATCTAATGATAGGCTTTCATTGTTGCAGTTTTTTTTCTTTTTTCTCAAAAGTATCCTCAACTTATAAAGTCTTTGTGATGTTTTTATAAACAAGATAACGGCTACTGTTCCTGTAAGATTGTGACTATGTGGTCCTCTCTCCCTCACAGGTCTCTTCCTTCCATGACGATGCATCGAACAACCAGAATAAAGATAACTGAGCTGAACCCCCACCTCATGTGTGTGCTGTGTGGTGGATACTTCATCGATGCCACCACCATTATAGAATGTCTCCATTCATGTGAGTGACACTTGGCTGAATACAGACATGGGAATTGGACCAATCATGATAAATATGACTGTTGCAAATTCACACAAATAGGTAGCTAGTTAATTACTCAAGTATTTGTAGGCCAATTTCACTCTCACATTCTCTTTTCACATAATTGCATTGGCTACACTATTTATGTCTAATTCACTAGATGCTACAAAGCAAATCGTTTTTTGGGGGGAAATGAATAACTCTGCTATCTGATAAATGTAACAGGCATTTTTCATAGTTGGACTGTAGTGCATTGTGTTATCCACTGAGAAACTGATCCAGAGTTTTTTCCCTTGGGTTTCAGTCTGCAAGATGTGCATTGTGCGCTATTTGGAGACCAGCAAGTATTGCCCCATCTGTGATGTGCCAGTGCACAAAACCAAGCCTCTGCTCAATATAAGGTAAATAATCACTTTGTTTCTTTTGCATTTGTTCTATAGCCTTAAATTGTTATGTCGCATTTCTGCTGTTTGTTGCTATTATCCAATCCACCCAGTGCAGTTAGACATCATCAAAGGATTGGTCTAGTTCCATTAAAACTTTGCTACTTTCTCAACATCCGTCAATTTATTAAAACCTCATAGCATGCAATGAGTTCTGGGTCAATATGACTGATTTATGAAAACTCTTCAAGGTCTGACAAAACCCTACAAGACATTGTCTACAAGCTGGTCCCTGGTCTCTTCAAAAGTAAGTGGAATGTGTTAAATCCCTCTTATCAGTCATGTCATTATCTTGTTCTCTGTGACATATGTATTCTGTATCTACTAAATGGTTAATCCTGAATGGTTGATAATCCTGTTTAATATCGGAGCTGCTGCTTTGTCTCCCCTGGAAAATGGGTTAAAGCCCACCTCTGGACTGATGCTGGAAATGGGTGCTATATAGTTAAAGCAAAGGGTGCAACGCATCAGACGATTGATTTTTCAATTGTATCTCTATCCCTATTCAAATAAACATTTGTGACAGTTTTTTTCTCTCCCATTAGATGAGATGAAGAGAAGGAGAGACTTTTACACGGATCACCCTTCTGTAGATGGTGAGTCTCTACACTGACTTTGCTGATAGTTTCTTTATTTCGTTTTTTTGTTGTTGCTTATATGACTGTGATATATGGTTGTCTCACCTAGCTACCCTATAAGAGCATCTGCTAAACGATTAAAATGTAAATGTTAAGAAAAGGGTTCATTACTTTGCTTTCGTAGGTCAGTCAGGGTGCAAGTCCACTGGAGATGTAAAAAGTGAATTGTCATTAAGTAGTTTTATTTTTAACAACAACTAAAATAATGGTCTGTATTTATTTCCTGCTCCAGTAAGATTCTATTGGTTTTCCCCTCTTCAAACCCACTAAAATTAACTTCAATATTAGCTGATAGTATTCTCCTATAATGATAGGATTTCTGAGCTCTCACTTTCACGGTTTTCCATGTTTTGGGGAAAACTCATGCAACTTGTTGATTTTGTGTGTGTAGCTACGACAAGGTCTAATGAGGATCGAGGGGAGGTGGCGGACGAGGACAAGAGAATCATCACAGATGATGAGATCATCAGCCTCTCCATTGAGTTCTTCGATCACAACAAGTACGTTAACAAGTCTGATACAGCCAGGCTTTAAAATAAGTATTAAATCTAGTTCGCTACGGATTCATCATAAGATCTAAGGAAGACAATTATATTAGAACATTTTATAGATGTATACTTATATTGATTAGTTCAGTGTGTTCAAAAACTGATTATGTCAGTTGTGTGTTAGTGTCTATTATACATTATTCTGTAGGGACCCTGGTTTATAAGCACAGATATCGACGCTGTCACTCAACCATGCTTTTGTGGCACAGTCTGTGCGCTGGGCTTGGGGCCAGAAGGTTGAGGGTTTGACCCACACTCCCTGCCTGTTTCATTACAATACATTAAATATGTTTTCCTTTCTATAATCATTTTAATCTAGAGACTTTGGTTTTAGTAGTGTTCAATTTTTTTTTAACATGAATTTCAAACCATGAAAATCTTCAGTGCATTATCAAGATGTTTTCTAACACATTTTGTAAAACAAGTGTAACATTGTTTTTCTCAGGGCTAAACAGACAGGCGTGGCTGAGGACCAACCCTCTCAAGAACCGGTAGGCTGCCTAATGCTGAAGCTCAGAAGTATTCCATATCAGATAGTTCTAACACCCTGTTGCTGCACAGAGCCTATTGCTTGGTTTCTGATATAAGATTGTTCTTAAATCTGGACCCTTAAAGAGCTTGTCTTCAAATCTCACTGCATGTCTCATCTCCATTTTCTTTTCTACTTTATTGTAGATGAGGGTACTGTATAAAGTGCAGGTTAGCCTTTTTTAGTCATGAATCTTGTTCTGGAGGCAGCTCTGCAGAGTGGTCACTAGCTGGCACAGCCACAACGTCATAATATCTGATTTTAAACCTAACCTTAACCAAAAAGCTCATTTTTGTTTGCATTAATTTTTACAATGTAGCCAATTTTGACTTTGCAGCTGGCTTATCTAAGTGGAAATCGCTCAGTTCTTCTGTAGTAAAATGGAGGTTTGAGCTGATCTAAATAGCTGTGTCCTCCTCCAGGTGAACAATAAGAGGTATCTGCAGTGTCCAGCAGCCATGACCATCATGCACCTGAGGAAGTTCCTCCGCAGTAAGATGGACATCCCCTGTACCTATCAGGTAAAAATTGATTGATTTGATTTGTTCGGTTATTTGAAATGACACAAAGGCAGCCATAACTCTTGTATCACCATTTTTATTTTTTATAAGATGAATTTAACAACATTAGTACAAATCACTGCAAGATCATTCTCTCATATGCTGCTCTTGAACCAATCAAAAATATAAAATATATTCAGCAACTCTTGAAGGACAATGGAAGTTCAGTAGAAAAAATACGTTGGCCTATTTTTATAAATAATTTTGTCATTTCTACAATGTAGGTTGAAGTGATGTATGAAGATGAGCCACTGAAAGATTACTATACATTAATGGACATAGCCTACATCTACACATGGAGAAGGGTAAGAAACATGAAATTAAAGGGGAAGTTTGTAAAAACATTTGAATGAGGTTTTGATTTTGAGCATTATTTACAATTTAACAATGAAAAATGTGAACTCCCAACAATGAAGTTATCCCAAACCAATACACCTCCCCCAATACAGTGGAGACGTTTATAATTTAAGAGGTATATTGAATTGATTTTTCAAAATCAAATATTTTTTTTGATATTTCTTGTTAATGTTTGATATATTAATTAAGGCAATGTAAACGTTTTTAACAAGTTGGAAGATATGTTTTCTTTGTAAATAATTAATTATTGCATGAGTTTTTATTTCAACCTTTGGCTCTGTGATATTTTCTAGGCCTACTTTGGAGTGTGGAATACATGAATGTTCAGAGTTGAAAAGCTTTATTGTCCATGAATGGGGAAAAAAATCATGCTTGCCCTGCAAATTAGCTCTAAATATTACAAATATTTTGCAGAATGGCCCTTTGCCGTTGAAGTACCGCGTCAGACCTAGCTGTAAGAAGATGAAGAAGAGTCATCCGCAGCAGGAGGGCCAGAACAGCACTGGTCGGTCGGCTGAGAGCGACACAGCCAGCGACAAAGCCTGCAGCCCTGCCGGCATCCCCTCCACCTCCTCCTCCTTGCCCAGCCCTGGCACCCCGGTGCAGTCCCCACACCCACACTTCCCCCACATCTCCAAACCCGTCAATGGAGCCTCCACCTCGGCCCCAGCCCCGACCAGACCCTTCCCCTTCGGAAAAAAACCGCGGAAGACCTCCCTGAATGGTTCTTCTGCATCCTCGGGATGACTGGCCTGAAATCCGGGCCGACAGCCAACGCCAGACCGCTCAGCTAATATCTTCATGCCAATGTAGTTCCATTGTTGTAGACGCTCTCTTTTTTGTTATCGTTGTTGTTATAAATATATGATATCTGTTTAACGTAGTGGAAGTGAAGCATTTAAATAGGAACATAGCAGGGATGTGACGTTAAGTCGGTGAAAGGGACGTTGGCGACAGTGCAAATGTTAGATGAATGGCGAAAATGAAAGCCCCAAAAAGCTGCGTTTTATTTTACAGATGTGACTGAAGATGGCCGTTTCTTTATTTTAATAATTTTTTTCCATGTCAGAATATACATGTGTTGACTATATTGTAATTGTGTATTTCAGCCTATTGTCGTCAGATAAATCATGGTAGAAACCTATAGGCTTTACTAATATTTGAAACTGTTGCATCTATTGTTATTTCGATTGGCTTTTGGAAAGCGTTTCACAGAGAAATATAATAATCGATATATTATGTGGAAACAACTATTGTAGTATTGGGAACACGATTTTATGAGAAAACATACGAAAGATCTGCGTAAATGTACAGAGCTTTTATTAGGTAATAGGCTACTCGGAAAAAAAATCTTTTTTGAGCTGCAGTGGGATTGCATATAGCCTCGACACACCCTGAACCCTTGAAGCAACCAAGCAGTTCAGGAAGTCCACATACACACACCCATGTATATAGCGGAATATATGCATATTTAATTTTACATTTACATTTAAGTCATTTAGCAGACGCTCTTATCCAGAGCGACTTACAAATTAATCAGCGATTATGTCAAATACAACCCCCCCCCCCCCCCCCCCCAACCCCGCGCATTTCATGCTCGATGACAAATGTTTTTTGATGTCTTCCGTGTTCTGCGTATTTGTAACGCTCGATTGTATGGACAACTATTGTATTGTTACTGTTGCACAGTATAAAAACATCTAAATAAAACATTTTACACTTAAATACGTTTTGGGTGTTTATTTTTATTTTGTGATTGATACATCTGGTGGTGTCAGTGTCCCCTCTTTGTAGGCATTTTGAAGATATCTGTCATGGGCCTATTTGGACAAATGTCCCTACATTTAATCTATTTACATTTTTGTATTTTAGTTTCATTCATGTTTTAAGTTAAATATCTGTTTTTTTGTTGTTCGAATAATGACAATTCGCAGACAAAGCAGACCTCCAAGGACATTTTGAAAAGATGGACAGATGTCTCGTGCTTGTGCAGCATTGATTTAATTTAATTCACCAGAGACAACTAGTCCCAAATATATTTTGTGTGTTTTGAATAGGCCTAGAATATCCTTGACTTCGATATTTTCCATCGCACTCAATATCTGTAGCAAGGATTATAACTTTAATGGTTGAAAGAAGTTGCTGCAAACAAACTGAAAGAACACAGGTTTTCAGTGAAGGAAATCTACAAATGTATTTCGGTGCATTTCAGATCGAGATCATATTTTTTTGTCAATTGCTTGTGGACTAACATGGAATATTGCTATATTTAAATATTCCAATATTTTGATATCTTTGTTCGTCTGTCATCGAAGTGAAAATGTTGCAATAGCTAAGGATTTAATGTTGAGGTCATTTTCGTTTACTCCAAATAGATGCTATAAAGAGGTGTCATTAACTACAGTCACTTCAAACGAGACTCGTCTCCCCCACAAAAAGAAACAGGTTTTTATTTGTTTACATTTCATAAATTAAAAATATGGATTAAAATATAAACATTAACCTAGAAATGTTAGTTGGATAAAGCCAATTTCGCTCGTGGAGGAGAGAGAACAAGGTGGAAATAGCGGTCAAAAGAACTAAAAAGTGGTTTACTTAGCCTAAAGCCACAATCCAACGATTGTCCTACTGTCATTCAATCATTTTACACTCATTTGTGATGGGTTTATGGTCTTGGTAAATGTGAGTAGTATTACATTCCCAGATAGCCTACATGTAGGCCTTTTTATAATCCCATATTCTTAATGAGCTGAAATATATTCGGAAGTCTTGCTGCGTTCAAGTGCTAGTCGGAACTATAGGAAACTCGGACATTTACGACTTGCTAACTGGTAATATATAGCCTGCACGTGCGCATTCAATCAGTTAGCAAGTCGGACATGTCAGAGTATCCTAGTTCCAACTAGCACATGAACGCAGTTTTAGTCCTCAGTTTATAGTGGCGAGCTAAAGGCATGGTATTCAGATTGGGACGTTGATGTGCCTCATGTTGACTCGCAGATGGCAATTTCGTGCAATAGACAACATTTGTGTGTAGGTTTACATTTTTTCTGTAGCCTGCACAGAGCCCTGACCTCTACCCCATCGAACACCTTTGGGATGAATTGGAACGCCGACTGCAAGCCAGGCCTAATCGCCCAACATTACATTTACATTTTAGTCATTTAGCAGACGCTCTTATCCAGAGCTACTTACAGTTACATGTGCATACATTATTTATTTTTATTTTTCATACCCCCCGTGGGAATCGAACCCACAACCCTGGCGTTGCAAACACCATGCTCTACATCCCCGCCGGCCATTCCCTCCCCTACCCTGGACGACGCTGGGCCAATTGTGCGCCGCCCCATGGGTCTCCCGGTCGCGGCCTGCTACGACAGAGCCTGGATTCGAACCACTGCGCCACTCGGGAGGCCAACATCAGTGCCCGACCTCACTAATGCTCTTGTGGCTGAATGGAAGCAAGTCCCCGTAGCAATGTTCTAGTGGAAAGCCTTGCCAGAAGAGTGGAGGCAGGTATATCAGCAAAGGGGGGACCAACTCCATATTAATGCCCATGATTTTGGAATGAGATGTTCGACAAGCAGGTTTCAACATACTTATGGTCATAATAATATAAATAATATGCCATTTAGCAGACGCTTTTATCCAAAGCGACTTACAGTCGTGCGTGCATACATTTTTGTGTATGGGTTGTCCCGGGGATCGAACCCACTACCTTGGCGTTACAAGCGCCGTGCTCTACCAGCTGAGCTACAGAGGACCACATCATGTAGTGTATACTGTATATACAGTGCATTCGGAAAGTATTCAGACCCCTTTACCTTTCCACATTTTGTAATGTTACAGCCTTATTCTAAAATGGATTAAATAATTTTTTCCCTCCTGAATCTACACACAATACCCTATGATGACAGAGCGAACACAGGTTTTTTGAAATGTTTGTAATGTATAACAAATAAAAAACAGAAATACCTTATTTACATAAGTATTTTGACTTTTTGCTATGAGACTCGAAATTGAGCTCAGCTGCATCCTCCTGTTTCCATTGATCATCCTTGAGATGTTTCTACAACTTGATTGGAGTCCACCTGTGGTAAATTCAATTGACTGGACATGATTTGGAAAGGCACACACTTGTCTATATATGGTCCCACAATTGACAGTGCTTGTCAGAGCAAAAACCAAGCCATGAGGTCGAAGGAATTGTCCGTAGAGCTCCGAGAAAGGATTGTGTCGAGGCACAGATCTGGGGAAAGTTAACAAAACATTTCTGCAGCATTGAAGGTCCCCAAGAACACAGTGGCCTCCATCATTCTTAAATGGAAGAAGTTTGGAACCACCAAGACTCTTCCTAGAGATGGCCGTCCGGCCAAACTGAGCAATCGGGGGAGAAGGGCCTTGGTCATCAGTGAACCTGATGGTCACTCTGACAGAGTTCCAGAGTTCCTCTGTGGAGATGGGAGAACTTTCCAGAAGGACAACCATCTCTGCAGCACTCCACCAATCAGGCCTTTATGGTACAGTGGCCAGATGGAAGACACTCCTCGGTAAAAGGCACATAACGGCCCGCTTGGAGTTTGCCAAAAGGCACCTAAAGGACTCTTAGACCATGAGAAACAAGATTATCTAGTCTGATTAAACCAAGATTGAACTCTTTGGCCTGAATTCCAAGCGTCACGTCTGGAGGAAACCTGGCACCATCCCTACGGTGAAGCATGGTGGTGGCAGCATCATGCTGTGGGGATGTTTTTCAGCAGCAGGGACTGGGAGACTAGTCAGGATCGCAGGAAAGATGAACGGAGCAAAGTACAGAGAGATTCTTGATGAAAACCTGCTCCAGAGCGCTCAGGATCTCAGACTGGGGGCGAAGGTTCACATTCCAACAGGACAACGACCCTAAGCACGCAGCCAAGACAATGCAGGAGTGGCTTCGGGACAAGTCTCTGAATGTCCTTGAGTGTCCCAGCCAGAGCCCGGACTTGATATACTTATGTAAATGTGATATTTCAGTTATTTATGTAAATGTATTTATTATAATGTTTTATTTATTTTTTATTAGCAAACATTTCTAAAAACCTGTTTTTGCTTTGTCATTATGGGGTATTGTGTGTAGATTGAGGGGAAAATACAATTTAATCCATTTTAGAATAAGGCTGTAATGTAACAAAAAGTCAAGGGGTCTGAATACTTTCCGAATGCACTGTGTATATATATATATATATATATATATATATATATATATATATATATATATATATATGAGAGTGATTATTACTTTTTTTAAGACCAAGGAGATGTCTGAAATCCATCAAATTAACCGTTTTTTTTATGAAGCAACGCAAATAATTAATCTCAGTGATTGATGGTATACAGCTATCCTATTACTGCATGACTAACCAATCACAGTGAAATTAGATTAAATCTAGTCATGATCAGTTTCATATACAGTGCCTTGCAAAGTATTCATCCCCCTTAGCGTTTTTCCTATTTTGTTGCATTACAACCTGTAATTTAAATGGATTTTTATTTGGATTTCATGTAATGGACATACACAAAATAGTCCAAATTGGTGTAGTTAAATGAAAAAATAACTTGTTAAAAAAAATTCAAAAAAATAAATAACGGAAAAGTGGTGCGTGCATATGTATTCACCCCCTTTGCTATGAAGCCCCTAAATAGAATCTGGTGCAACCAATTACCTTCAGAAGTCACATAATTAGTTAAATAAAGTCCACCTGTGT